TTATTAATTGAGAGCTTTCGATGCCAATACCAATGCATGAATTTGTATATTGTGTGGCAAGCACAATGATACTCTATGCCCAGGAAAGTCGAGAAAATTTCCAACCCGAAAGATTCCCTCGACCGGAGCGGGAATCGAACCCGTCGCCTCCGGCTTGGTAATACCGTGCCTTTGCTGACTAGGCTATGAGGCCCCTTGAAAGGTCCCGCTATTTATACCTCCATTTATACCCTTCGGATTGTTGAAACCGAGGTTGAAACACCCTCCAAAGGAGCGCCTCTTTTTTCAGTAAAAATTGGATTCCTTAGCAACAAAATTAAGGAATGACACCGATAATAACCATGCATCAGAACCCTAGTCTTAACCACCTCAAACTAAGGAACAACGAATAGAAGATTAGGAATCACATAGCTTGCTTCTGGCTTCACTCTTGGCGGGACTCTTATTATAACATTGACTCTGCTGCACGCACAAAGAATTAAAAAAAGAGTTATTATTATTATTATTTATCTTTATTAGGGAGGCTTTCAGCCTGGAGCTGGTTCGCCTCCAATTAAAAAAGAGTTCCCCATGGAGTGTTTTTTTTATTAGTGCACTATTAATACTTCTGTTTATTTTTTTCAGGTAGGAATTTCCTACGATGGCCAACATAACCCGCAAGCACCTGTTATCAGAGAATTGCATGTGAAAATGAAAAAAGTATCACAGCAATTGGGCTCTTTAATGTGTAAGCTGCATTAAAAATTGAACCGGAATTCAACATTTCAGCAATTTTGTTGCACTAGAATTATTTTAAATAAGTGCGATTACATTAGCAAAAATCACCATCTTAGAGCCCCTCCGTGTGAGTTTGTATGGTAGCGAACTGTCAATTTGTTAGTTTAGCGTCAAACAGTGAAGTTATTAATTTGCTTTAAATCTTGATTCCAAGATCGAGATGCCAGTCTATGGGACTGTACAAAATTTTGGTTGTGCTCAGCAAACGAAGATCTTTCAGATGATGTATAGGTAATAATTGATATATTTTTCAAAATTAAAGAACCCACACAGAGAAAAAATTCTGAATTTTAACTATCGCGTAAAATCTCCCCTTCATTTAATTTTGAGCTATACTTGGCATAAACAGCGAGATCGTTTAAAGGCTGGCATACAATATTGTTAATTGATGCGATATTTAGCTTAAACTTACACGAAATATCGCGTAATGTTATGCCAAATCTAGCGTTAATTTTATGTGCGCTATATCTCGCAGAAATTTACATGAATTTTTCGAACGATGTATGTGCCAAGATTACATGAGGGTTTTACAGAATTTTACAGAACCAAAGCATGTAAATTTCAATTATGAAAAGTACATTTAGTAAAATTCATGCGCTATTTTTGTTAAATTCAGTTAAATATAAAATTATACGTTTACTTTTAACTGCCGTTTACTTTTAAGCCCCTTTCTCATTCGAAGCTCATCGTCACTGTCAATGGAGTCACTCACTATCATTTGGTATACGACAGTGGAATATGGAAGAAACCCAGCAAAATCATCCCGAACAGACAAGTCGACCAGATGTCGGATTAATCTGTAAGGTAAATTTAAGGTCGATGTCCAATGACCAAATGTCGTGTTGTTTTCGGGTAAATTTTGGGTTTATGTCGGGTCAATGTCGGGTCAACATCGGGTTGGGGATTGGTAGAAGTGGCATAGCTTTTTCACCGGAATGTCGACCAGAGCTCCGTTTATGTGTAGGTTACACTCAATTGAATGATATCAAGCGTTTCTCAAATGAGAATGATCCATGCCTTCGTCAAATGACTAAGCAACTGATAGCACCCATTCGAAGCAGGTTCCATTCGCGGATAGAAATCTCCTTATACCTTTTGGCAAATTTCTATTGCTGATTATTCATAAAATGTATAAGTCAACTAATAAATGAAATGTATAAGCGGTCACACATACACACTTAGAAAAATTCATGTAAATTTAGGTGCTCTGAGACTGACATATACGAGCGACAATTTTGACATAAATTTGAGTCATAACAGATGCGAAATGTAGCTTAATATTACATGACATGTTTGTTTACGTCTCATCTTTTATGTCAAAGATGGATTCCGTCACTTTGTAAAATTAGTTATTTCTAAGTGTGTACCTTTTATGTGTACCATGCGGTTTGTATAAGACTGATATTTTGGCAAAAATGTATAAGTGAAACACATGAATAAGATAATTGATTTTCGTTTCGTGTTTGATAGCGGATAGCTGCTTTTATCATTTTCATCAAAAATGTTCTATTGATTTTGATAATTTACAGCACTGCTTGCTAGTACATTTTCTTTGAAATACATAGATGTTATCAATAAGTAGAATTCATTCTAAAATCTGCTCAACATTGTTTTGGAAAAATCAAATTAAAATTCTCTTAATAGTTCTTCAAATCGACTGTATTAAAAAAAATCTAGTCAAATCCAGGGTTTTTTTAAGGTTCAAAAAAATTTTTTTTTCTCGGAGACAGGACAAAGTATATCTTTTCCCGGTTTGTCATCGAAATTCACGGGATTTTCCCGGTGACTTCGAAATCCGGTTCACTGGTTCACCGGCAAATACCATAAACGAACGAAAACGTCGTTAAACGCTTTTTAAGTTTTTAAGGGGCGATTCAAATATGACGTCCACTCTTGAAAGGGGGAGGGGTCCTATAATGTGTAACAGTACGTGTAATAGGTATGAGAAAAAGCGTGAAACTGGGGGGGGGGGGAGACGGGTAAAAAATCGAAAAACTTGTGGATGTCATATTTGAATCGACCCTTACTCATCATAATACTTTTTTAAACCGCTAAAATGCGGCTGGTCCAATGTAACACCACGGTAGGCAAGAGGTCGAATAATATTTGCTGGTTAAAAAACTTGTTTTTTTCAACACAAACGCTATCTCTTTATCAACTTTCTCTTTGGACTTAAACAAAGCCATTGGTAAACGCATGTGTAAACACGTTATTCACAAAAGGGATAAATCTCGATTGATTTAAGAATAGGTCCAATACCCACTTGTCGATCGATAAACTTGATTCACTTTCTTCCGCGACCTGAGCTGCGTGTTTGCAATATTGATGCATGCAATCAAAGTTTCAATGTTTGAAATTTTGATTGCATGTATCAATATTGGAAATCCACGCTCAGGTCGCGGTAGAAAGCGAATCAAGTTAATCGATTCTTTGATCGACAAATGGACATAGGACCTATCTTAAAATCAATCGAGAAATAATAACGAGAATTGATTACACGTATGAATCGATTATCGATAGATATTTAGAATTAACCACGGTCAGTTACCGATAATCGAGTCCGATCTGAATAGGCCCTTTTTTCAGTTAATTACAATTGTTACAAAAAGAAAAAAAAAAGATTTAAACATCTTAAAAAACAAAAGTGGTCCGCAGTTAACGCCCGCAATATGCCTTCATCTAAGCAGCACTACTCTACCCATAATCGCATATCAGTCCCATCTTTGCATGATATCCTATCTATATGGGACTGATATGCGATTATGGGCAGTACTGTTATCGACCAATATTTACACCCATTTTTCTGAAAACAAAAGAAGCGCTCCAAGCAAATCAATTTTTCCAATCCATTTGTGTGTGTCATCCAATGTCGTTTCAATCATGGTGGGTATATATAGTACATGGTGATACAGCTTTGTGGGCGAGGAGATCGCGGGACGGAAAAGTGCGGTTTTAGAGCAAATTGTAGACAAACTCGGTCGCTGACCCATACAAAAATCCAACATTGCTGAATCTTGCATTTGACACATTAGAACACCTATATGTAGTCACCTTGGTTTCAATGCGTTTGAAACTCGCACGCCGAATTTAGAGTCATGAACCAGCGTTGAATTAGAATCTAAACCCTGTTATTATATTTTTCTCCACATTTTTATAGCACATGGTGATGTTTTTACTAAAACCACAGACAAACAGACATAACACTCGCAAGTTGTTCATCGAACAAGCATTTAACGGTCAATTTAAAAGTCTCGTAGTTGGTAGTACCGCCACCTGTGGCGCGCATAGTCAATTCCCTTGCGTTTGACGTTTACACACTACCGCCATCTGTTCAGTGTACTACCCACCACAGTGTATTCAACAGATGGCGGTAATGTTTTAGCGACGATGTTTTACAGTGATAAATATTCAATGTGTTATGTCTGTTTGTCTGTGCTAAAACCATTGAAAATGGCAAAACGAAAAGTTCTTAAAAATGGTTGCTGTCCTAATCCAACTATCCGAATCGATGGTAGTTTTATTTCGAGATAATGATATGCTTATTTTTTATGTTCCTTCCATCAACGGTTTATCTATCCGTCTTTGTATATAATTGATAATCCGTAATTCGACATTCGCCTTCAGGACTAAATATTTTTCTTCATTCGAATTGTACATAATTTCTTGTTGATCAAATAGTGAAACGGGTATACCAACTGACGCACGTTTTTTGCCGGTTGAAAGGCTAGTAATAAAAAAAAATGCCGAACAGGGTTCTAAAGCACGCGGTTCTGAATTTGATAGAACCTGTAATACGAGTTTTAAGTGTACTGCAATCTAGAACGCCTTTCAAAGACACCGTTTTTAATAGAATGGAATGAGCGTAGTAATCGGTGCTTCTATGCAGACAGACAGAAATGTCAGAGTTTCTCGTTATATATTCAATGGCATGGTAACAAGCGGGTGGCGGCCAACCGTATCACGCAAAAAAAGAAGCAGAAGAATTTCTTGTGTGAAACGTTCAGTATAATTTGGGATATAATAAAATACTTAGTTTAAACTATTAAGTTTTTAGTGAAAACCATACCTTTCACTGTAATTGTTTTTTTTTGCGATCTCAGGTTTTTTTTAAATCGCGGAAAATAGGACCACCTTAAACCAAAAGACTAATTTATTGATTGGTGTGAGCAAGGGTAAGTCGTTCACGTACTGAATAGTTGGATTTAGGACAAAAGTATACTTACTAAAACAGACCGCGCAGATGCACGTATGTCGGCAAGGTAGCAATGCTCGAGATAGGGGAAAATAATGGCACACTACACATAGCTGCTCGATCCCGGGGCAGTCTCTCAGTGTCGAGTCACTACACAACAGTGGACCGGTATTGTCGGCGCACGCCACTGGTTCGGCCAGCGATAGCGATCCAGAAATTTGACTACAATTTCCATCATCTGAAGACGTAGGATCACCAGTAGCAAGGTACAGTTGCTGCAATAAAAAAGAGAGAAAAAACACATTCATTCATTAATTAATATTTTATTTTGACGCTCTCTTGAAGTCTCTCGCTCTCTGGATAAAGAGAGACAGTGTACGAACTTAGTATAAAAGTGCTTCAAAATTTACATTAGCGTGGGTCATGTTTGTATGGCAGATCACAACCCCCTGCTTACCACTGCTTTTTCGATCTGTAGTGAGGTTCCCGTCAGCTGTGCCAAATTTGAACAAATTTGGTAACGATCTAGATTTGCGGGAGAACTTTAAGTTTGGTATGAGAAAGGGAACAAAACTATTCAGTTGCTTGACTTCTATACAAAAAGTTATTATTTTTTACTTTAGGAAAAGTGCTTCGCGCATACACCTACACACTTCTGTATAGGGTAGGTGTTCCAGTAGTAGTGGTGTACCTATACTTGCGGTATGGGCATTATGCCAGAAAAACGCTGGAAAATCAGATAAATTTATTTTTCATAGATAAATTATCCTAAAATAAAGTAGATTTCAAGACCTAAAACTTGAATTTATCCCAAAAATGACGGAACACGGAAAAAACGTTTACTCCACTCACTGAAAATATTTTCCCAAAGAGGTGCTAGTAGCGCTAAGGAGGTAAAATACCGAGTTGTTGTCTTGTTGAAAACGCAATGTATACTAAAATGTAATGAACAGCAAATGTGTACTAGTAAAAAATATTCATATTTATGAATAAATGTCTAGCCGGAATACTTGCCCCGAAAATTTGATTTCAATACCACTGAAAAAGTGCCATCTGCTGCAATATAACACTTTGGATCATGTCCTATTAATTTTACTTCATATTTTAACCCTTTTGCACATATAGATGGGTAGTGTTCAAGGTGTAAGTCACTCAGCTCATTGTACCGCTATTAAATTCGGTACAGCTTGGGCACATCCGTCGGCCACACCTTCGGCACAATTTTGTAGGCATTTGATTGTTGTAACCAAAACATTCAAGGTGTCAGAAATACCGGGTTGCCGGGATGGGTATTTTACAAACAATCGCAGCTTGCTCTATGACCGGCACAATCGGCACATTTGCAGCACACTGAAAAAAAAGATGACCCAAGATTGGTGTGCCGAGTGAATTAGGAACCAATACTTCCACTATTATAGGAGCCAAAGTTAGCAACTACTACAACTACTGGGAACAAATTTCGCGAAAAAAATAAATCTAAATCTAAATCTTTGATTTGAATGGATGCTACCCAAGATGACACTTTCCATTGAAAAAATGTAAATTTGTTCGGAATAATTTTTTATAAGGGCTTATGAAGGTTTTATTTTTTTCAAAAAATCATAACTCGAATACGGTATATTTGATCATAATGACGCCTGAAAAGAAGTTGTAGGTAATAGTATGGCCCATCCGAAAAAAATATACACTGACAGAAAAATCACTGTAGAAACCAACGCTCAGTCAGCATCAAACAAGTTGCCTTAGAACAACCGGTACGCCATTCTAGGAAATGGCGAAGAGCTTGAAATTGAAAAGAAGGAGAAAGTACCTCCATTCTTCGTAAAAGGATTCACGTCTGGGATTCGGGAGAGCATTGAGTTCTACATCGGGAAAGGATTGAAGTGCACCATGCGCATGTGCACTGATGGTATCAAGCTGATGGTTCCAGCAAAGAACCACTACAAGAGTTGCCGTGCAGCTGTTGAAGCAGAAAAAGTGGAGTATTTCTTGCACGATTTCGAGGAAAACAAGCCCTTTAAGGTAGTCTTTCGTGGTCTGCCTGGAATGGACACCGCTGCGCTGTCAGAGGAACTGAAGAAGAACGGTCTGAAGATGATTCAAGTCTTCAAAATTAATCGGCACGACACCTCCCGTAAGTATCGTGACCATCTGTATTTGGTACACCTCGAGCGAAACTCAAACTGTCTGAAGGATCTTTAGTGCATTCGGGCCCTTTTCCACATCATGGTTAATTGAGAACGTTATGAACCTCGTCACCATAACATTACCCAATGCTCCAACTGCCTTATGTTTGGGCACGGGACCAAAAATTGCCACATCGCTGCAACGATGGTGGAAAGCAACATGCAGCCGAAGCATGCGAAAGGATGGAGGACGCTGATCCACAATGCTCCAATTAAGGTGCAACTCATCGCGCTACCAGCAAGTTTTGTCCAAAACGTGCGGAGTTTATGGATATCCGCAAAATGACCTCCACGCAATTAGCAGAATTTGCTCACCATTACCCAACGGCGTCCGATTCCGGTTCTTCCGCCACTCCCACTCAACAACTGTTTGGCTGTTGCTGCTTCGGTCCTGCTAACAGCTGGGATGCATAAAACTTCGGTAAACTCAAGTAGTCCGCAACCGCTGCACCCCGAAGCACCTCTCCACCTCCGGGACTATCAACGGTGGAACTTGTTACACTCGTGACAGAAGTCATTATCAGCGCACCTGTAGGACATGAACAGGAACAGAACAGCTACATGCTGCCATATCCCTCATCAATAGGTATGGACCGTGAAGCCATCAAAATTGCCAATTGGAACGCTTGCTCGCTCAGGAGCACCATCAGCGACGAAATGCACCTGAAACCTGAGATTAACGTCTTCCTTACCGATTTCCGGCTTGTGAGGCTGGATCGAACCAGCTCCGGGGGAGTAGGAGTGGCTATCGCTCGAGGAACATCGGCTGCTGCCAAGATTCCAGCTGAAGATAATCGAAGCCATAGGGGTGGAAGTTTCTACTCCTGCCGGCCCCATCACCATCATTGCGGCTTACTGCTCAAACAAGTCAAGTCAACATCAGGGATGGGTCGACAGCAGACTTGCGAAGAGATATTGTCAAGCTAATACGATGCACAATGGGGGAAAATAATCGGAAAAATACATTCAATTGTGTACCACTGAAATTCACTGAAATAAAAATATAGTGCATATAATATCTTTAGGCAAACAACTTGTGGAATCGAATGGAAATGGTTTCATGCTGGGGAGAATACAGGAAATTTAAGTTATTTGCTTTTCCTTCCTAAAACAAAATTTTCCTTGAGAATAAAAAAGCAACAAAAAAATCTTACTTCTACTATTCTCCCCAGGATAAAACTATTTCCATTCGAATCCGCAGGTTTTTCACCTATTTAAATGATATGAACCATATTTACGGCCTGCAGAAAGCGCAGTACAACATCTTGAGTCCCGACACTCCCACCGGTTGAGTCGGTCCGGTGTTGACGCTACCATCGATATGTTCATCAGCAACATGGGCAACGACATCGCTCAACGTATCACCTACCAGGAACTCAGCTCCCACCATCCGGTGGTGGCCGAAGTTGGTTCCTCGGTGAACCGGTTCGAAACTTCCCGGCGCAACTACCATCGTGTTAACTGGGACCAATATCAACACTGCGTCGACACAACCATCGACTACGATGTCCAACCGGAGACGTCCGAAGACGTTGACCGGTGTCTATAATCTATCGAGGAGGCAATATGCCGACCCAGGGAACAACACATGTCACTATCCATACAGGTGAGTAACACTCTGAACCTTGAAAGCCCTGCCAAAGATCGCATTAGACTCCTTACTTGACTTGACTTACTTGAAGACCAATTGTAATCGATTAACAAAGATCATTCAGGCCAGGATGGTGGATCTCAGAAATAACGATTTTGCCAAATAAGATCCGTTCTCTCCCAGATTGTGCAAAACCCTTCTGGAAACAAACAAAAATCCTTAAAAATAAGCCAAGGCCCATTTCACTACTTGTATCGTTGAATCAACCTAATGATTCAGTCGCCCATCTGATAACCCCTGAAGAGAGGGCTAATGCTATAGGTCAACACTTCGTCAGCTCTCATAATCTCGGACTGAACATGGCAAGTCCATACGATACTGCGGTTGCTGAAAATGCAGCCAATCTCCATCAAATTCCCAACAATTATTCTGTGGAATCCGAGATTACGGCTGACAAACTGTTGGCCATGAAGGTCCCAGGTTTCGAACAAATTCTGAATCTGGAACTCAAATAGTTCCAGATTCTTCAACCAACTGGCACTGATTTTTAATCAGTGCCTCAGATTTGGCTTCTTCTCCTCGTGCTGGAAGTCAGATAAAGACATCCCCATTCGGAAACCTGGGAAAGATCCATCCTCTTCTTCAAGCCTTAACTTGGGGTTATCTAAGCTGTTCGAAAGCGCAGTCTACTAGCGTCTGCCGATGAAAACAACTTGTTGCTCGAAGAACAGTTTGGCTTCCGTAAAGGTCGCTCGACTCGGGTGACAAACATTCTCAGACGGAACAAGTCTGTATCCAAAACATCTGCCATGGCATTGTTGGATGTTGAAAAAGTGGTCGATAATATCTGGCACGATGCACAGTGGTGCCAAGGGTATCAAAACACGCGCTTTTTTATTTACGCTGAAATGGTTGATTAAAGGTACTAGGTGTCTTCGGAGAAGATTCTCGGGTTACAACACTCCTTATTATGGTAAAAGAAAATTAAAGATTCATCCACCTAAAAGTGAGATGCTATTTTTTTTAATATGATTTTTATTTTATATTAATTTATTTGTACAGGCTCAATCGAATAAACTTTACAGAGCCAAGTTATCTTTTGCATTATACATGATTAATGTCTTAAATCTAGAGTTAAAGGAATTGAACCGATTACTCGCGGTCGTCTCGAGGTTAGTGGAGATTTACAATTTTTTGGATGGGGAAAGGGAGAAGGAGGTTTGAAATATGATTTATTATACAAATATTTAATTAATCCTAAAACATGAACTTATTTCTATTCATCTTTAAAACAAACATAAAAAAAAACTATACGCACAATACAAAACTAAACACAAGGTTAATCAAACTTACAATCTAAGGTTAGTATTCTTAAAGTAAACATATATGAGTTTCATAAACTCCAGATCACGTCTAGCCAAAATATCCCGAACTGGAACATTAGGTTGTCTACCTCGAGCCCGAAGGGAATCGCACAGCTCAGATCTGACTCCACGAT